CTGAAAGGAATGATTTTAAGGTGGTACCTAACACTACAGGGAGATAACTCTGTAAAAATCAGCTAAACGTTTTAATTACGTTGTATTGTTCAGGAAATATTAAGCTTCTCAATGATCAAAATTAGTGTTTGTCAAACTGCTATATAACCAAAGAAATTTTTCTGATAAAGTGGTTGGTTCAAATTTTTTGAAATTTTTATATTTTTGTCAAAGGGTTAAAGTAAACATTTTGTCAAAATTTTATGAAAATTAAACGAGCCAAATTAATATTAGTCAAGGTTTTGGGTACCACCTTAAAAAGGAAATGTCATGTATGGTAATGTTGTAGTGAAATAATACTTAAAATGCGTTCTACGTTTCAATCCTTGTGTAGTATCATCTTTATGATTTAGGATTGTCCCATGCATGTATCGTCTATCTAAAAAATGTGTTTGGACACAAAGTACTTTGTGCATAAATCAGTTATTCCAAGTTCTGATGGTTGTCATGAAATGTCTTGCAGGAGTGAGTTAAAGAAAACAAATATAGAAATTGAGATCAGAAAAAATGTCGAACTAGCTAAGATATTGGCTGGATCACAGCACCGACGATGCTTTGATTACTATTTTTGCTTTTTTGTATCATTTTGTCCTTCGTGGTGAGTACCTGTAAGTTGTAGTTTATAAGAGTTCCTAGCATATAATTACATGTCCATTTTTTGCTTTGCTATACTAAAATGTATTCTGTTAAAAGTACCCTCAAATTACGGAAATTTTAAAATATGGTATGACAGAATGGTGGACAGCTGACGAGGAGCTATGGTCATGTCAGAGGATATTCCCCCCTAGTGACAGACACACTGGGTATATCTGTGATCGCACGTGTTATCATGAATGTTAAATTTGTCTTTTATATATACTAATTCATGACTCGCAGTTTTTTTATTTCATTGTTCTTTGTTGACAAAACACCTCTGCAATTCGCAGTTACAACCAAAAATACTACACACTAGAACAACTAAACTAACCTCTCCGCTTCCGGAAAAAGAAATATTTTTAAAATACATCGTATGACATTAAAACACGATTTTTGTCGCATTCTAAGATAGAGCTGACATTGATTCTATTTGAAAATAAGAAGATTTGGTATGATTACCGATGGAACAACTATCTACCAGAGACCAAAGGATGTGGACGTAAAAAACTATAGTCGTTGTTCGGCCTTCAACAATGTGCAAAACACAAAACGAATGGTAGGCTATAAAAGGCTTCGTACTGTGCCAAGTTTTTATAAATTCAAGCGAGAAAAACCAACACCATAAATTATTAAGAACAACAATGAAAGAAAAACAAATATGAGAGACACAAAAGAGGAATATTAACAATAGGAAACAAAAACAAAAATCGTCTTTTGGGGAAATTTTTTAAATAAAGTTTCCAGTATGACAATGAAATAACCAAATCCAGAATAGGAAAATTGTTGTTTATATAAAATTTATTTAAAATTAGTCCTTGAGTACAATTAGTTCGCAGTTTAATTAAAAACTTATTGATTATTGAACGCAAAACTATCTTCAAGGTTACGATGATACAGTAAGTCTTGTTGAATTTATCAAATAAACGAACTTGAGACGGATCTTTAGCGGGTTTGGTCAAAACAGTGATTCATAACAGGAACAAGTCTGTTTTTGAAGGACCGCTAGTGGTGTCCATAAGAATACCAACAATATGCCGATAACGCCATTGCTGAAAGAACATCGACAAAATCGTCTCAGTATTATTAGTTACATAGTGTGCTAGTGACCTATCACGATATATATGGGGTCAGTAAATTCCATATATATCGTATTAGGTCACTAGCAAACTATGTAACGAATTTATCTTACCAACTATCTTAACATGTGGTATTTAGACTAGTGGCTTATCAAAGTGATCAAGCTTGCAATACCGTTAGTATTAAGAACCTACTTCCATTGGTCTATACAAAAACAAATGCCAACAATAACAACTTGTTAACTTTAAATGTGTTTTATAAATTTATTTCAATCGTTTATCATCAAATTTTTCGTCTGTTGAAACCTTTAAAAATTTTCCTCATCAACGTGTTGTTTTTATAAAGAGGCGTAACACCACTACTAACCGTGTATTGAAATAAGCCCCGCCTACTAACCTCATATATGGAATATACACGGTCTCCACGCGGTTGCTTTTAATCAATCATATTCCTAGAAATGTATAGGAGGTCAGATAATAGAAGATATCTAGCATATTTACCTTTTCATTAGGGAAAAGGTTTTATATGAATTACAGTAAAAAAAAATTGCAATCTAGTATTGTGAAGAAGACTAATTCGTAATACGAACATATAAATCTTCGTGATTTAAAATGTGGTAATAATAATGACTGTTCACTATACGACTTACTGTTGATCGCACGGCCTTTGACGTAAAAACACTTATAGGTTCATTCTTAAGTACTTTCATAAAGTATTTTCGTCATACCTCTATCACATAGTTGACTGCTTTGTCGGCCGGTACGAACACAAACGTATTTACGAGTACGTTTAGTGTGTTTCTGATATTCTAGTGGTGTCAATAAGTAATCCTCTTATAATTGCTAAATCATTTTTAAAATGTGCATATGTAAACAATATTTATACATTTTTTTCAATTAAAAGAGGGACGAAAGATACCAGAGGGACAGTCAAACTCGTAGATCGAAAACAAACTGACAACGCCATGGCCAAAAATAAAAAGACAAACAGATAAATAATAGTACAGATGACACAACATAGAAAACTAAAGACTAAGCAACACGAATCCCCTCTAAAACTGGGGGTGATCTTAGGTGCTCTGGAAGGGTAAGCAGATCCTGCTCCACATGTGGCACCCGTCGTGTTGCTTATGTTGTTACAAATCCGGTAAATAGTCTAATTCGGTAGGTCATATTCGTGAAAAGGGAAGGTTATTGTAGTTACGACATAATGAACATATCCGATATCATCTGTGAAACGGTTATTCCATAACGGTCAAGAAATTTTTTTATCTGAATTCTCCCGTTTACGCTAATTTTTACAATAGGACGAAAAAACGTCGCTTTATTTTAATTTTTAGAATGTTTTTAACCAATCGTTCTTCGACAATATTGAGGTGGTCATATAGAAAAAAAACTTCTACTTACGTATGATGTAACAGACAAATAATTCAAAAATTATTTGTATTCTGATGTTGTTTACGGAAGCGTATAAGCGCCACACATTTTTTTCTTTATTTCTTCCTGTATGCTTGCATTGTAACGCAAAAGTTTGCGTTATTTCGCAATTGTTTGCTTTATAACGCAAACATAGGAAGAAATATAAAAAAAAATGTGTGGCGCTAAAACGCGTCCATAGTTGTTCACTTATACTCCCGGCTTTAAGAATTCGATAAACAGGAAGTTCAAGAGCAGTGGATATGAAAATGCATTACATGGTATATCGCATATAAAAATAAACGGAGAATGTGTCCATGGATAGAGATGATGCCCCTGCTTGCAAATAACGTTATAAAGGGACATAACTAGAGAACTGTAAAAGTGACGCCACCAAAATTTGAACTTGGTCTGAGTTTTCAGGTAATTAGCATTGTGTATAAGGATCATAACATTTGGTTGAGGCAAACTAAAGTTAGAGTACGGAAACTAATGTTAGTACGTGGGTACATATGGACCTACGGGCGGACGTAATAGCGAACAAGGGTAAGACATAATGCCCTCTTCATAAAAATAAGGAGATGTGGTATGAATATGATTATGAGATAAATTGCTTCGCCGAACGCAGCAGGATACGACCGCAGAGGTCCAACCCTAAACAGTTGGGGCAAAAATGGACACAATATTCGCAACTGGTACAGGTCTGCATTTGGATTGTAATTAAATATTTGACACATAATAGGTTTCTGACACAGAATAACTGTAGTCAAAGAACTTGAATTGGTTATGTGATTTGAATTTGTATTCATTTTTTTTTTTGCTTTTGTGCAATACACTATGCTGTTGCGAATTGACCCCCTCCCCCAAAAAATAGTTTTTACCCCCCCCCCCTTCTTTTGCCAAAAAAAAAAAAATATTTGAAGAAATTTTCTTTTTAATTTCTGAAATCTTGAGAACAAATTGTCCCCACCCCCCTCCCCCCTTTTCCAAAAAAAAATTCTTTCCCTCAGAATATGGTCATAATCTCAATTCAAATTCCCAATGGAGTTTGCAACCATAATAACCCATTTAAATACATCATAAAAGTCTTAAAATAGAAAATGACATACATAATCATGGCTAAAATTAAATTACCTTCATCAGCATTTTTAAAATAGTAACTTCTAAAAATAAAATGACAGCTAATCACCTCAAGACAATACAACATTTCTTTATACATAATTTAAAAGCAGAGTAAGGGAGGTAATTGAAAATGTTGTGTTTGAATTACTTCCCTTACACTGCTTTTAAATTATGTTCTGTACTTAAGTAATTGTCCATTAACCAGGACACCCTTGTTTTCCCCCTTTTTTGCCCCTAATTCCTAAACGGTTTGAGCCATAACCCCCCCCCCCCCCCCCCCCCCAAAGCCACGTCGTCGTCGTGATACCAATATACGACCGCAAAATTTTTTGCGGTCGTATAACAACTAGCTAGTTAAAAAAAAGTGGATATCAGCAATTATAGGCAACTGTACGGCCTTCAACAACCCATACTCACATGTTACCTCATAAACATTTGAAGGTCAGTCTTTACTTGTGGTTCTCTAAAGAAAATCGACTAAAATTTCATACACGGCTACTATATGTTAGAATACATAGGTGTTCAATTATTAGGAAGTTGATGAGTGGTGAATTTTAAACGCATCACACAGTTTAACATGTTCAAATAAAGTATGATAGCAAATTTCAGGACGCTCTGATTTATAGTTCCAGCATGACAAAAGGCGACGGTAATTTCATGGGGGTAAAACAGTATACCCCTTTTTTGGTGCAGAACATATTAAGACAATGGTAAAATCAAAAACTTGTTTTTAAGTTATTTAATAAATATAAATACATTTTTAAACGATATAATCATTTTCAATACAAATAAAATTTTCCATCTTCTCTCCCTCTCACGCACTCTCATATATACACGTATTCAAAACATCGACACGTATCGTTATGCACATATTCACGCGTAAATATTGTTATAGACATTAAGTTATTTTTAAAGAAATGTTTCAATTTTGTAGTACCTCAATCAAAAAGGTTAAAAAAAAAATCCAACCAAAACAGAAATATATTATAAAGCTATGGCCCTAAATGATTAGAACTCAATAGTAACAGAAATATAATTGCCCTGAGAGTAGACTATTTTTTATCATTTTTTAAATTTTACTCCTCCCCTATGAAGCGATTTTTACGGAAGCCTTGCCAAATCACTTCCCTTTGAAAATCGTTGATCATATTTTCTTAAACAAAGTTTGGAGCTTTTGAGGTAGTCATAATAAAATGGTTTACCAATATCACTTGTCGAATTGTTATTGATTGGGTACTCTGACTAAAAGTCCACAGTCCATTTATCCCGCTAATATCTTGTTAATTACTTTTCTTTTCGTTTGTGTCTTTAAAATGGAGTTTTCTTCCGATTAGCTACATATGTTGCTATACTGTTGATGGCACCTACTTTTGCACTCAGATCTTTTATTTTTGTATATTTATCTATTGCCGTTGATGAGAGATTGCCGAGTGTGTCCACAAAGAAGAAAATTGTCAAATCTGCCACGGATAGCTGAAAAATAAAAGACAAATGATATTACTTTTCTCTGGATTTGTATCCGCAATTAGGAAAAAAGGCTCGTTTGCATACAATGATATATTAAAAAAAACCTCTTATCTCACTGAGAAAAGCTTCTGGATAACGGCCTCCGTGCTCCGCGATTTCTATTCTTATCTCACTAAGAAAAGCTCCTGGATTACGGCCTCCGTGCTCTGTAATTTCTATTCCTATCAGACTGAGACAAGCTTCTAGATTACGGCCTCCGTGCGCCACGATTTCTTTTCTTATCTCACTGAGATAAGCTCCTGGATTACGGCCTCCGTGCTCTGTAATTTCTATTCATATCAGACTGAGACAAGCTTCTAGATTACGGCCTCCGTGCTCCGCGATTTCTATTCTTATCTCACTGAGAAAAGTTCCTGGATTACGGCCTCCGTGCTCTGTAATTTCTATTCCTATCAGACTGAGACAAGCTTCTAGATTACGGCCTCCGTGCGCCACGATTTCTTTTCTTATCTCACTGAGATAAGCTCCTGGATTACGGCCTCCGTGCTCTGTAATTTCTATTCATATCAGACTGAGAAAAGCTTCTAGATTACGGCCTCCGTGCTCCACGATTTCTATTCTTATCTCACTGAGAAAAGCTCCTGGATTACGGCCTCCGTGCTCTGTGATTTCTATTTTTGTCTGACTGAGAAAAGCTACTAGATTACGGCCTCCGTGCTCCGCGATTTCTATTCTTCTCTCACCGAGTAAAGCTCCTGGATTACGGCCTCCGTGCTCTGTGATTTTTATTCTTATCTGACTGAGAAAAGCTTCTGGATTACGGCCTCCGTGCTCCGCCATTTATAGTCGGATCATTTAATGCTTTATTGCATATCTGATATTAGAATGTTAAAACCCGTCTTACACTAAATCCATTGGATGTTGGACGTGTACGGATTGATAATTTAGTCTTAGATGCATGATTTTTTTAATTAGTTGTTAGTGGCTTTGAACTAGCTTTCAGTAACTGCGAGTACTCTCAGATATGTACTTATTGTCTTTCTGTTGTTGAGATATACAAGTACCCGGCCACGTCCACTCTGTGTAGTATTTCTGTTTGTATCCATCTGATGAGTTAAGCCTTTTTCAACTGATTTTATTAGTTCGTTCTTATGTTGTAGTGTTACACCACTGTCCCAGGTTAGGGGAGGGTTGGGATTCCGCTAACATGTTTAACCCCGCCACATTCTGTATGTATGTGCCTGTCCCAAGTCAGGAGCCTTTAATCCAGTGGTTGTCGTTTGTTGATGTGTTACATATTTGTTTTTCGTTCATTTTTTGTACATAAATTAGGCCGTTAGTTTGCTCGTTTGAATTGTTTTACATTTGTCATTTCGGGGCCTTTTATAGCTGACTATGGGATATGGGTTTTGCTTATTGTTTAAGGCCGTAAGGTGACCTATAGTTGTTAATTTCTGTGTCAGTTGGTCTCTCGTGGAGAGTTGTCTCATTGGCAACAATACCACATCTTCTTTTTTATATTGAGTACATACCTTCCCTCCTACAATAAATCCACTGTTTGTAAGATTGGCATCCAATGTATTTTCTAGGTAGGCCATTATGGCTGGCAGTTTAGTATTCACTATAGACTTAACGGCTTCAACCTAAAAGAGAGATTTGTTTGGTTCCCGTGTATTTGATTTACTGTTTTGATGAGGTCTTTATACCTTATAAGTTATATCTCTTATTATTCATACGCTATTGATCAAAGACACAAATCATTGTGTTGGATAAAATGCTAGGGTTTATAGTCTTCAACCTCTGAAATTTCAATAGCTAGTAGATACATTAGTCTTTTAGAATACAACTGACGTATACGGATCATAATGTTGCTATGTGGATACCTTTATCGGTTTTCAAGAGCAAAATTGACAGCGCGTCATCCTTACAATGGCTTCCATTTTTACGATTGTTAAAATTAACTGGCGTAATTGGGAGATGTTTTTGACGAAGTAGAATCCTGACTGTAAATGTCAATAATAACACTAAAATAGTTATCATATTTTTAAAATTTTCTAAAAAAAAATCACTAAGCGCAAAGTCAGTAAACATGGGGAAAAATCGTAGAAATGAAAACCGTAGCGATGACGCGCTGTCAATTTAGCTAATTGAAAACCAATCAATTTATCCACACAGCATCATAACGACCCTTATTTACAAGCGGTATCTTAAAAGACAAATGTATCTACTAGCTATTGAGCATCATTTTATGTACTTTTATGCATTACAGTTGAGGACTTATCATCCTAGATAGCATAGACAAAAGATGACTTTTTTTTATTAAGTTATGCATTTTTAAGATCCACTTGTAAAGTCTGTCGTCAAGTACTTTTAGTAAAAATTGTTATTCGAACACGCCTACTCTGTTGTTGTGACTCATTAGAAAGATATATTGACCCATATATTTTATTTCTTAGAACTGTAAGTTTTTAATATTATTTTATCAACCTACAACCTAAATATATAAATGTATAAAAAAAATCTGAAGCGAGATGATGTATCAAATATTTTTTTCTTTTATACGTTTTCAAGACAGAATAGTCAACTTCAACACGCCTGAACATAAAAAAAAGATGCACTCGACTCTCTCTTTTCGATGAATTTTTTTTTTTATCAAGAAGAAAAAACTGTCGCCGGGGCAGAGATGACAATTAATGCTTTTAAAAGATCAAACTATTTTCTTTCTTTAGATTTTTTCCTCGGCTGAATTTATACTTAGCACCTTCCCCTATCGGCCTTTTTTGTGAAAATGTGAATATAATTTTTAAGTTAAAACATCTCGAAGGTTCATACCATAATTTAAGAAAAAATCATACGTATGATGCATAAAATTCTAGATTATGCACATTCATTAAGCTTAATCCCAATAGAAACAGACGTAAACAATTCAAATTCACCAACTTGGCCTTTTTTTACCTTCTCTAATAAAGAGTTCCATTTCTTTTCTTTTCTTTTTATTTCAACTGGGTTTCCGTCTATAAGAGGAGTTTATTACACAAAATCAAAATTAGAACCAAACATTCGTGCAACTTGACCAAAATTGAATAGTGTATGCTGCATTATTGTGATTGAAAGAAATCCTTAAAGTTGTTAATTTTCAATAATTTTATATTTTTGGCGAAAAAATCGCATAAAGGGATTAAACTAACCTTCGCAGACTCTTCCTTGATAAATAAAGGGTTTGTACAATCTACAGTGAAATCTGCTATTGTCGTCATGACTTCATCTATCTTAGCTTTTTCCATGTCATTACTTCCAAAAAGACCTTAAAAATAACATGAACTATAAATATTGTTTCGTCTTACTCATTTTCAAAACCTGAACTCTTTTCACGTTATTGTATGATTCTTAAATGATTATTTTTGCATAATTAGTTTAAAAGCGCATCCGGTAGCGTTTTTTAGTCATTTTTCTATATTTATTATAAAAATAGAGCTATAATTGTAATATCCCAAATATAACTGTAAGTACGTTCGGAATTATTTTTTTTCCCGAAACTTTATTATGCATAAAACCTACTTAAGATATCCTATTGTAGTATACATGTATCGTAAATCCGTCCGTTCGGAACAAATCTAAACATAAGTAGTTATATGCATATCAGCCCAGGGTCATACATATTATTTAAATAATTTTTCGGGGCTAGAGAGGTTGGGAGAAACGAATTAGAAAACAAAATTAATATCATTATGTTTATACTTGATGGAAATCATTTTATATTAAATTATATTGACATACCAAATTGTCCTGCAAGAAATCTGTCGACGACTAATTTCTGTGTCAGCTCTTTTCCATTTACTTCTAACACTGGTAAAAATCCTAATGGAGTTTCTGAAATAAATACCACTCATTTATTTGATGTCCTGTAATCTAATCTAATAGCTCATAATTCAAAGTGATTAGTTGCACTGTAGTTTTTTATTGTATATTATATATATTTACGACATCTGTTCTAGGTACATATATATAGGTCTATGTTCAATACCTCCTCATGTTGTGCCTACAGTCGGGTGTTTGTGTAAAGGTATCAGAACCAATTCAAAACAGCCTGTATAATCAACCAAATGCGTCAATTTTTACAGATTTCTTAATATTTAACCTTAAGTGAAACTTCATAGAAACCAGGTATATCCTGAATTGTACATGAATCACCTTTCTACATGACAATTTTCAACCAATGTTTAAAGTCTTATAGTGAAATACGACCATTCGGAAGTCAACTACTACTAAAATAACCCCTGCTTTTCTGGAAATCTTGAATAAGTACATTATGGAGCGCATTAATCCTTCAGACGGCGTGCACAAAGTTGACGGCAACTAGAAAATGCGCTTTTGAAAGTAGTTTTATACAATCGTGATTAAAATATCTTTTAAAAAAGAAGTTTTTCTTATGATAAAATTATGAATGCTACCAATTAAAATCCACATTACTAGTAAGGTTATCAAAATTAAATCTATAAAGTATGAAACGAACACTGAGAGAACGGCAAAAAATATGTGAAACTAGTAACATTAAATAAGCATAAAATCGAGTTTTTTACCTAAAATTTATACAAATTCAACAGATTTTCCCGCATTTTCGTATAATAGAATTTTTCGGATTCGGACTATGACGTCATACGAAATTCACCGCAAAAAAACCCAGAAACGGCCATGGTGGATGAGTTTGGAATGTCATTCGTTATGTGTAAGAAGTAGTTATTTGGAAGGATTAATATTCGAAAATGAAGAATCTGTAAAAAAAGATATGTAATTGCTATTTTTTTATTTCAAAATAACTTGATATTTCAAATGTGCATAACAAGAGGTTTACAAAAATCTGCAAAATATGAATGATTCGATAGTCTAGGCTGAACACCTGATTTTTTTTTAATGTCCAACTATTATGTTACAATTTAAAGAAATGGCGTTTTAACGCTATTTTTTTGAGAGGGTCCACGACATAGTCGACATAGTCGCTTATGATTTCCATTACACTGCTCTTAGCATATATTTATTTATATTTCCAGAATGTGCAATTGCTGCACTTTGTTGTTCGAAAAAAAGTGATATGTTGAACGTTTATGTTTAAAGCTATGTGATAAACTAAGTGTCCAGTGTTTTTGTTACGCGTTTGTTTTCTGGAGAAAAAATGTCGACGTCGTAAATGGTTTAAGTAATTTGAAGACGTTACGTTTGTGGACTCAGCTTTGTGCACGCCGTTAAATTTGCAAACTCATGGACAAGTAAATTTTGGATCAAAATGGTCTTTATATATTTCTATATATGTCACCAAAAGTTTCATTTCTCCAAAATTTGTTTGTAAGTTTGTAAGTTTAAGTAAACAATGACATCAAAAGCACTCTTTTTGTCAGAGTCGGGCTTATTTTACATATGTTCTAAATTGGAGTGGGTTAATCGGTGGCTCGACAATCCAATTTAAAAATGTTGTATGGTGTACTGTGCGCTATTTTTGGCGATTCCTATGATATCGTTTTATGCATTATGAATCTCTTTAATAGTTTCTTAGCAGGAATGATTATTACATTATAAAACATTATATACACCGCGGGAAAATCATCAGAAGATAATATAAGATTTGGAACAGCTGACGTGTACCCAAATATAGATATTCCAAGGCAATGTCAATGACGTAGGTTTATGACATCATCCAAATTTTCGTATTTTCTTTTCTTTTTTGGGGGGTGTATTTTTTTTTCTCTTCTTTTTCATGATGTTTTCAATGTATTCTTTTTTTTAAAATAACCTTTATTGAATATTTTAACTTATAAAAGTAAGCAAATGCAAACGCAGATGATATATTTAGTTTAAAACAATTAGCAGTTTTAAAAGTTTTTTGAGCTAGAAAATTGGAGAAATATAAAAAGTCGTATAAGAAAACAATAGTTGACTTTTGGTATCAATAGATACAATAGTTTATCAAAACCAGATATAAGACATTCACCCTCGGCCGTTTGCTTCGATGAGTATCATATCTCTGGGGTTGATAAATCATTATATAAACCTCACCAAAAGTCAATAATTGTATAATATCGGGGTGCCTCACGATGGTTGTCAGCCAATCGAGATTGCTTGATAGTATTCCAATGAAAAAATATACTTGTAATGTATTTATGTCGCTTTCAGATTGAAAAGGACACCATTTAGTGACCTCTTGCGGTTGCATTATTGTTAGTCACGATGACTTTTGAGTGTCCCCTATGTTTATTCATATTTAATGGGCCAGTTGATTTACAAGAATGTGATCACGATTTAAATCCCATTTCAAATAATTTTAAACACGTACTTTATTATTGATCTACATCCACTTATATATTTAATGTTCTACTTTATGTTTATCAATATAAAATTACAATACAAACAAAGATCTTAAATTAGATAATGATTTGATTGATCTGTAAAACTAGAGGTCTTGACCAAATACCAGAGAGGTAATAATGTAGTGACACGTACTACGCCTTTTAATAGGATTTATATAATATTTATCATATTGCTCTTAAAGCAGTGAATCGGCTTACGAAACATTGTCTTAAATTAAGGTAGCATAACAATATTGAGTTAAATATCATAATCAATTTTCAAAATAAACATTTAAAATTGAAAAAAAATACATATTGATAAGTATTGTCTGAATATTAAAAATGTGATGATCATGTAAAAATATTTCCATTACATGACCAATCATGGATAAAGTCAGTATAATAATGAGAGATAAAAGATAAATTTATTTTATTAAAGTGTCACGTATTGATAATATTGATATTACAATAATGAGATACATACAAATATTAAACATTAGAATTAAAACAATTGAACCTGAATACAATCACTTGTATTGTCTTCATGTTCAGTATCATGATATCTTATAAGACAATAAAATTAAAAGACAAGTACAGCTATTACAAGAATATTATATACAGCATGTGAAAAAAAGGCAATGTACGATTAATAAAAAAACGTTTCTAGAAACATTTCCATTCGTATTTCGATAGACATGATTTTTAAATTAAGGTGTCAATCATGTGAGATGATAATGACTGTCAAACTATAATGATAATAGCTCAAAGTATGTCTATATATATTGGTTGATAACATTGATAACAGCTAAAAGAACTGTATGATAATAACAACTTTGTCATATTGCTTTTGTTGTTTTATCCCTTCCAGCTCTCTTTTTCTGTTCTTTTATGCTTACCCGCTTTTAATGACGTCCAGTCAGATTAATTTATTTCACTTATTTGGTTTTAATGCTGGTCAGTCAGATTATTTTATCTTACTTACTTGGTTTTAATGCTGGCCAGTCGGATTGCTCTACTCGAATATCTTCATACTTGACCCCCGCAGCAGCAAAGCAAAGACGGGCAACTTCTCCTCGTCCTTTCCCATTGAAATATGTTAGTTTATATGAACCACCTTTACTGAAAACATAATTATTTGTTTTTACTTTTAATAAAGTAAGAATAGTGACTGTGTTGCTGTGTAGTTTTCTTTAACGCACGATTGTTTATATGAATAAAAGGAGATATTGTGTATACGTCAATCAAAAGACAGTAACTCAACGACACAAATAACTAAAAAGTGGGATGTTGGAAAAAAATACAAAAAAAGCGGGAAATGTGTATACTTCAATCAAACAGTAACATAACGACACAAATAACTTAAAAGTGGGATGTTGGAAAAAAAATGAAAAAAAAAAATGCGGGATTTTGGAAATGAGCACCCCCGTGTCACCCTCCTCATACAGCTTATCAAGCTCTGAATCGTCGTGAGACTTCAAAGGTTGTGAATAAAGCAAACAATTATTGTATAGGAACTGTAATTGATATAACAAATAACTAACAGAAAGAACATAGAAGGTACCGATCTAAGAGTACTTGAAGTTACTAAAAGCTAGTTTGACGCCCATTTTCAACTAAAGAATAAACCATGTTCTCCGAGACTAAGATATCATTCAGTACACCTCCAACGGAAACACTCTCTATCTAAGTCTCACTATATATTAATCAACAAATTCCAGGTTCCTGACTTGTCAACATTTCAAATCTTTAAACATTAAAACTTTCATTTTCTTTCCGGTCTTTTCAAGAAATCAATTCGAAAAACGTAAAACATTCAGGTTCCTGAGTTGTTAAGTATAAAGTCGATAAACTTAAATCTTTCAAATTGCATGCTACTTTATCGGAATAAATTTTGGTGCAGAAGGTACTTTGTTAGCAGCAAATAACAATCAACAAATTATACCCCCAAAAAAACTATTTTATGAACGATGCCATGAACATAACTTAAATAAATAAAATAAATGATTGTGATATAATTAACGGAAGTTAGATTTTTTTTAAACTTTTTTTTATCAATCCAATGATTGTTTTATAACCGAAAACCTTAACCATATACTGATGCGTACAATGTTCCGTTAGTTCAGTAAAATATTTACCTTGCACCTGACCCCATGATTGAAATGTAAGCCTTAAAATATTACAGTCTTGGGCGATCGTGGTATTTATAATGCGAATAGTATGTTTATAATAGATCTGTTGTGGAAACAATCTAAAGACTAATATATATGAGGTTTTGTTCTAAATATCAACTCTCTAAAGAGGGTATATACTGAATATAGATCTTCCTAATGTTCTGAATAATGACATTCACGTTAAATAAGAATGGTCTTCATTTGACTTTGCATAATGTATGAATGGAAATACAACAAAGGGTTTTAAATGTCCTCGTTTATACTTACAAACTATAACGTTTAGTTCAATATAAGTGACACATATGGACAAGGCTAGGATTGTAGTTCTAGCTATTTCATACTTTAGTAGATACTTCTGACAGGAACGTCTTACAGTTGTTATATGCAATCTGACTTCCACAATAAACATAGAATTGTTTTGATTTTTTTTCATCAGACTTCATTGAAAAAAAAAAGATAAAAAAGACCAATAATAATACAAATGACAATATTATATCATTGATTAATTGTTCCTTATTTAACTTACAGTGGCAAATATTTAATGCATATTATATTCATTTTGACAATTGGCCATCTATAATATCTCACTCATGGTAAATGCATAGTAAAATTAAAAGTCATTTATTATGTGATAATTTCAGAGTTTAATTTACTATATGATTTTGAAAGAACAAAAAACTATAAAGAAAAAGATTACTAAATTTAACAGTAACCTTATGACACAATAACCGAAAGACATTAACAGGCCAACATACGATTTTCAATATTATAGACAAATGTCAAGCTTCAAATCGCCCAGCTAACAGACTGATACTATTTTTTATATTACTATCTACAGACTGAGGAAGACAAACGTCAAATCGCCCAGCTTCTAAGCTGGTTCTTAATAGACTACTACACTCTGTCCATAGCGTAGTAATTGGAAATGAACTGCTTTTAAATTACTCTTCCGGAGTACATGCTCTCATCCACAGTTTCAGTCATTGCTCAAGTTGCTCAATCTTTAGTTAAGTTGTTTTTTAACGTTTGTTTGTCAGTTTTTCCTTTTTTTTTTTTGTAGTTGTTTTATCTGCCTTTCTTTAATCTTTAAGTTTTTATTCTCCTTTGGTTAAATATCTTTATGTTTTCAATTAATGGTCCGTGAATGGGTTAAAACAATTTTTCAAACTTGAAATAAATGAAAATGCAATTTTATCGACTCACACTTTATAACAATCTGATGAAGATGTGTTTACATAAAAAAAGTTCAATTTTATTCCCTTTTCAAAGAATATGTTCTTTTTAAATGAAAATCAATTATTTGTTTAATAAAGGTATTTGATACTGCATGTTTGTTTACCAATTTATATGGAACGCCACAGCTGTCTTATGTGGTGCTCTGACATTACGTGATGTGGTTTGATCATTACTTGATGATATTTTGTTATTACGTAATATGATTTTGACATAACTTAATGATGTTTTGATACTGCTCAATATATAAGTACGTAACAAAAAATGAGGTCATGACGAACGCGATACTGATATCAAATAAAAAACGCAAATACATTTCGTTAAAGGGGCATTAGCTACGATTAATAAAACAAAAAATAAAATTATGATTTTTTTTTCTCAATCATACATGAACGTGATATAGTGCAATAATAATTCGCTTTTAGCAAGCCAGTTTCGTTCAGTTTTGTCAAAATAAGCAAAGAAACATCGTTAACAAATTATTCACTAGCAAGCGAATAATTCGACCTCATTAAATCCGTATATTCCTGTGAACTTCAATTGAACCACTTAGCTAGAGATGGGTTACGCATGAACTAGGCGTGTTCAGCTATTAAAAGGAAAAGAATGTCAAAATTGGGAGTGAAACAAGGGTGAACCATTTGGTTGATTCAAACTACTAAAACTTATTCTTCATGTCTTCTTTGAATGTCCATGACGTTTAGATACTAAATCCCTGGGATGTGTTTTAGTTGATTTTAGTCTCTGATGCATGATTTTTTATTATTAATTGTTTTTGGCTTTTAACTAGCTTTTTGTAACTGCGAGTACTCTCTAATCGTACTTTCGTGATAATTTGACCTGTTGATACAATTTGTAATGCTTTTTTATTATTTAATGTTTACTTAATATTTAATTCTCGTCTCTCTGTTTTTAATATATAGATATAAGAAGATGTGGTACGAGTGCCAATGAGACAACTCTCCATCCACGTCACAATTTGTAAAAGTAAATCATTATAGGTCATAGTACGGTCTTCAATATATACCAGCTTTGATAAGTGTTTGGTATGACTATAAATTTTCACTTCTGTTCTCGTACTATGAACAACAAAATTATTAATTTTGTAAAAAATATTTCCGTATTTCATTACTGTATACCTTACAACAAAATTATTTATATTATTTTATTTGGCGGCATGTTGTCCAAGGTTATGGTTGTCTTTCTGATATCGTTTAACATCTCACCCCTTATTTTATTGATTTTGTATTTACATTGTGTCATAGATCAAATTTATTCGTTCAGTGTATGTTTGTTTACCTGTTTGTGTTAATATGTCTTTTGATTGAATTAAGCCATTTCAATTGATATTTTATAGTGTGTCTTTCTATGTTGTGATGTTACACTATTGTTTCAGGTAAGGGTGAAGGTTGGTACCTTTTAAAACCTTTAAATCTGCTGCATTGTTTGCACCTGTCCTAAGTCAGGAACCTGATGTTCAGTGGTTGTCGTTTGTTGATGTGGTTCATAAGTGTTTCTCGTTTTTTTTATATAGATTAGACCGTTGGTTTTCCTGTTTGAATGGTTTTACACTAGTCATTTATTGGGGCCCTTTATAGCTTGCTGTTTGGTGTGAGCCAAGGCTCCGTGTTGAATACCGTACTCTGACCTATAATGGTTTACTTTTACAAATTGTGACTAGGATGGAGAGTTGTCTCATTGGCACTCATACCACATCTTCTTATATCTGTGTACAAGTAAAACGATTATTAACATATTGTTTTAACCTATAATATAGAAAATCCAATTGCACGAGTTCGTTATTTATTTATAGCTATGTTTATGTTTATATTTGGTTATTTGACCGTCGGCAGTCTTCGGAAGGTCACCTCGATTGTTAATTAGATGGCGTCTAGACTAAAATACACATGAAATACAATGTACGGAAACATACTATCGATATATATATCAAAGAAGATGTGGTATGATTGCCAATGAGACAACTCTCCACAAGAGACAAAATGACACAGAAATTAACAGCTATAGGTCACCGTACGGCCTTCAACAATGAACTAAGCCCATGCCGCATAGTCAGCTTTAAAAGGCGCCGAAATCACAAATGTAAAACAATTTAAACGAGTTTATGCATAGAAAATTATTTACTTTATATATTTTTTTAATTTGGATATACGTTTTGATTTGTTATAAGTCGAATATGAGAATATTTGAGTCAAATCGGTGAATATGAATTTGAAAGCTAATGCCCCTTTAATATAAACAATTGACTTTTATGACGCATAAAACAATGGGGTATTATAAATTTTATGATACTTAGAAAATTAGAAATACCTTTAAAAATAGAACAATAAAAAACATTATAATATATTCCTTAGTTGTTATATGTGTATCTTATATGTCCAAATTTTACGACCAATGTGTGCTCAAAATTAATGCATCTTTAAACTCTTACTATTTCCGTTTTGTAGGTTATCTATTTCAAAAGCGTCTCCCGTCTATTTGACTCCAACGGATGAATGGGATATAAAAATATGGACCCCCGAATTTCTTTCGTCTGTTTGACCCCAATGGATGATTTGGATATAGGAATATTGACCCCATGAACAACTTCCGTCTATTTGACCCCAATTGATGAATGGGATCTAGATATATTGGCATCATTAAACTTCTCCTGTCGGACAGTAGAACATTTAAACCTACAGAGAGGGTAGTACTAATCCTAAACGGGGAATTTGATTTATCGTCCCCATATATGCATTCCGACCGGACGTGGGTTAATATTTATACATCCTACAAGCCAAACGGACACACCAATTTAGAAAAGGTTTTACTGCGGATTTTTTTCTTTTCGTTGAATATCAGGAAAAGTGGGATTTGCGTCAATGAGTCAGAAACCCAAAGATAAGTATAAACAAAAGATATCTAAAGGGCAACGTATATCATATTTAGAATTAATAAAATGGTATTGGTAACCGGTAAACAATTCACACAGTTGAACATACCTTGTTGATTTGGTCAAAACCGACGGACAACTTGTAGTTGTCTCTCAAATAATAATTCTTTCTGGTTCAGGCGACTATTCATTGTCGATTACCCCTTGTCATCTTCTCCCTTAATTAATTCATGATAAAGATTAGCATTATACTGCTTTTCAATCGTTACATTATAAAAAATACGGTGATGTGATATAATTTCCAATGAGCGACTATCCACCCAAGTCGAAAATCAAAAATAAACTGACAACGCCAAGGCTAAAAAAGAATGAATAAACAAAACAGATAAACAACAGTACACAAAACGACATAGAAAACCAAAGACTGAAAAACAAGAACACCACCAGAACTTGGGATAATCTCAGGTGCTCCGGAAGGGTAATCAGATCCTGCTGCAAATGTGGCACCTGTCGTTTTGCTTACGTAAGTACAAACCCGGTGTATGTGTGATTCGGTAAGTCACATTCGGGGGAAGAGGACGAAACTGTAGTTACGAAAATTGGAACATATCCGTCGTGAAATAGATATTCTATAGCGGCCAACTAACTCGTGATGGCGTCCGTATTTAAGAAGGGATGATCTCAAATTCACCAATTGGAACTCTTGGTTTTAATAGTTTCCTTGTGAGCAGCAACCCTCTATCAAGGAAATGATGATAGGAAATACAAGCAGGTGTTGTTGTCGCTTTTTAACAGTATATTAAAGTAATTATTACACATTTTTGTTTAGGGCCAGCTAAAGGCCGCCTCCGAGTGCGGGATTTTCTCGCTGCGTTGGTTGCCTTGTGCTGCTTTTGCTCTTTGGTCGGGTTGTTGTCTCTTTGACACATTCCCCATTTCCATTTTCCATTTTAGATATTTTATATTTTGCTGCTATATCGACGGTTTCGGTATTATTGGAGGGTATGGCTTACGGCTCAGATATTCAGTAACCTGCTAACGTATCAATGTGCCTGTCCATTAAACCAGTTCAGAGCTTAGCATAGTTGATATAAGTCCGTATAATATCCTATAGATTTTGTTTGTAGTTGTGTTGTTTATCATTTTATTCACCTTTTTTCCCCACAAAGACAATAACGATTGCTGCATATTTACATCGAAGACTTTTTGTCTCAATCAAAATAGTTTTTGTTGAAATTCAAAATTCTTCAACTAACAAGATATTCGTTTGCATCTTTGTCTGTTGATTAATGATGAATAATTGTTGGTCTCATTAGAAATCATACACATTATTTTGTGGTAAAGATATAATTGTCTATTCCTAATAAACAACATTTGTATTGTTTAAGTGATAATCCTCAACAATTAATTCAATTCTTTATTAACCAAATGTTTTCCAACATATAGTTTCATGTATAATTAATATATACTAAATATAGATTACAAAAATATACGATCATGACAAAACAGACAGAAGTATTAAATTCACATAAAAATAAGTACATATAAATATATTACAAAGAGCAAATATATGTAACAAATGAATTACAAATCAACTTACTGAAAACAGTCATTTCTGAGCTTCAGTGCTCCAAGTATATATTTTCATAAGTTGCACAAGTCTTTTACATTAGTAGTGCTTAATAATTATAAAAGTTTATAAACAGATGGCTTACGCCAATAATATGGTTTTATCAAACATTCACGCAAATTTGAATATAAAGGCTATCTGTTCAACCAAATTTTGCAATTTTCACAGCTTTCTAAATATTTTACCTTAAGTTTAACTTCATAGAAACCAGGTATATCCTGAATTGTACATGTATCAGCTTTCAACATGCCAATTTTCAATATACCTTTAAAGCCTTCTAAGAAAAAAACTGACCTTCGAACAGAGGTACTCCAAAAATAACCCCTGTTTGTCTGGAAATCTTTAATTAGTTAACTATGGAGCGCATTAATCCTGAATGTTTAATGCAAACTGATAAACAAGTGAATTTTGGCTCAAAATGGTCTAAATATATTTATCTTTCACTAAAAGTTTCATTTCTGCAAATTTGTTGGTTAGTTTAAGTAAACAATGACATCAAAAGCACTATTTTGTGTCAGAGTAGGGCTTCTTTTACATACGTTCTAAAATGGAGTGAGTAATTGGTGGTCTGACACCTAAAGGACATGATAAAGTAAAATGCATTTCATCCTCAATATCATCAATACACAATATACAGGTTCTAACTTAAAGGTTTCTATTTACATTAGAATACCTTCCCTACTCTATAGCTAGATTATGTGATGACAATCTAAATTTAACAATACACTTTTTGTAAATTTCTGGTATTGGTTTACATTAATATGTCTGCAAATAAAAATTTGATATCATATATCTATACAAAAAACATTTTGATGAACTATCTAAAGTAGCATCAAACTCTTGTTTGACAATATCACATAGTCTTTGTTTAATAACCATAATATGATCTTTACATAAAGAATTTTGTGAATACCACAAATCATTTAAACCAAAATGGAACAATTCCTTTCGTATATTACAAACTCAGTTATTTTTGTCATTTTGGATTCTTCAAACACATATCATATAAATAATTGTAACAACCAAGTAATATACAATTGTTGTTATCCAATATTTAGATATATGCAATTTCCTGGTTACTAACATCGGAAATCTGCCAAGTTCATAATAAACCATGACATTCGGTGTACTTGTTTTAACAATCAAAATTCTTTTACAAAAATCAATATGTATTTTTCCTGCGTCTTGAGCTTTATGGAAGCCCCATATTTCAGAACCATAACATAGAATACTACTCACATATGTATCAAATAATGGCAATAACGTGGCATAATTAAATGAATACTCCATCAGCAGGGATACTACCCAATTCCTGTATTTAACATCATCTGGCTTGTTCAGAACCAAAATGTTGAAAAATAAAAGATGTATTAATAGTTCAAACCGTAGAGGGATTTACCAATTTGAAAGTAAAATTTTATGACAAGGAGAACCAAATCTTTGTTACTTTTGTTTCCTGAAAGAAAATCTGATTTACGTGATCAACATAACAAACGTAAAAACGCACCAAGGAGCAGTCATTATTCAAGAAATGACATAAATAAAACAAAAATACTAACAACAGCCAAAAAAAAAAATCAAAAGATTGCGCAGCAAAAAACAATAAAAAACAATTATCAGAAGAAATACAGAAAAGTTCATTTTATTGATATAGATAAATAAAAAGCAAATAAAAAAAAAACTAAGACAATATATAAATGAATTTAATTACATTTATACATAAAAAATTGAATTATAGAAAGAGATAACATAATCTTTTAAATACAAACATTTCAGCAACCCTGGACCAGATTAAGATATGTGTTTCAAAAGAAATTACAAAGAACGAACGAATAGGACAAATCATTTTGCAAATAATGAATTATTTAATGTAAAATTAGATCATATACTTAAATATATCTATTCCATTGGAATGTATTTTGTACAGGAAATAAAGGAGCGACATGGAAGTAAATAATTGTAAATGTTGAAAATAATGATACATACTTTATCTTATTTTTTTATTTTATTTGTCTTTGTAAGTTATTACTTTTACTGTTTAGTCTATTTTTAGTAATATCCATTTGACGTGGCCCAGCATTGTGTTATTGTGCTATGTTAAATAATTGTATTCTTGTCTTTCGTTTTTGCCTAAGTGTTTTGTCTATAGGCCTTTTTCTTTTTCATTGTTGAAATATTTGTTTGTATTTATAGTAATTAAAATTATAACAAAATATTAGCTGCTGTACCCCTATTTTTGACATTTTTACCTATTATGTCTGGTTTTTTTGTTCACTTATCATTGTCAATATAATGGAATTTTTATGCGACTGTCATACAAGTGAGAGGTTTAGCTAGCTATAAAACCAGGTTTAATCCACCATTTTCTACATAAGAAAATGCTTGTACCAAGTCAGGAATATGACAGTTGTTATCCATACGCTTGATGAGCTTTTGATTGTGCCATTTGCTTAGGGAATTTCCGTTTAGAATTTTTCTGGGAGTTCGGTATTTTTGAAGACTGATTATGATGGCTAAAAATACTGTCAGCATTTATAACAAAAATCAAAGAGTTAAACTAATGCAACGTAATACAAAGGCATAACTTAGGTTGAAATTTAAAAAAAAGATATCAATAAAAAAATTACATCTAAATATATGCATATGACATTTCTGCTGTAAACTTGAGAAAAATTCCCAGATGAATATACTCTTTGACAATAAATTAATGTACAAAAAAAAAACGGAAAAAAAATTAGAAAAAAAATTAGAGGTGTTTTGATCAGTTGCACATTTATCTGTTCATCAAAAATAATACCAGGTGATAAAGATGCATGACAAATATCTCGAAAAGGGTGAGAAAGTACATTCAAAACAAAATTAAATCTATGTCACATCTCGGAATTAAAAACATTATCCTGTGTTACCTGAAAATACATGACAGAAACCCATAAACATTCTTTTATAAAACATTGTACAAAATGATGGAATATATCAAGTACTAGTAAGTAATATCATTTTGAAAATTCACCTTCTTAAAATCTGTTGGACAGTTTTCAAATATATGCTATATTTACAGCTTTAGTGTTTAAAGGTTTATTGACCAAATAAAAACAGGGATTTCAAAAGTGTAAAACAATCACCAAAAAACATATTGCATAGAAAAATCACGTTTTATTTTTGGCTTTTAGGAAAATAAAAAGTAAGTTTAAATATTATTCTAATTTAAATAGTATGAATATTGATAAGAAAAACTATTGATCATATCTTGATATATTTAGATACACAAAATTACAATCCTGCAATTAGTCCATATCACTATACAACACATGCACTTTTATAATAAATTTAAGGATCCGTGCAAAAAGAAACACTTCAGCAATAAACTGATTTTAGTTTTTCTTCAAATAGGTCATGATAATCACAAAAAGCACTCATAATTCTAAATTACACATAAAGGAATAAATGCAACTCCAAATTCCTTTATACAAAAGTAAATATCTTACACAAATGTACTCAAATCAACAAAATTAAAAAAAAAACCACTCATATACAAAGAAATATATGCATCTCCAAATTTGTTTGTGCAAAAGTAAACATCTTATACAAATATACTCAAATCAACAAAATTAAAAAATAGCTTTGTTTTCATTTATTTTTAAACGACCCCATGCAGATCACAAACCCGTAAATTCATTTAAGGTGGATGGGGGTCTTTATTAAAATCCATAGAATTTTTTAATAATTTGTCAAAATGTAATTTTTATCATGTTTTTTTCTAAAATATAATAAAAAGTATGGGTCACATGACTTTTTTCACGCTATAGGGTGTGCACAATTGTCAGCTTTTGCATAGACTATGCATGGAAAATCCAAAATTGAGTGATAAAAAGAAAACTACACCATAGAATTTTAAGATAAAATGTGAGATGATAGCTCTTATAACATGCTTTCAGATAAGAAACAGAAAAAATGGGGTCACCGATTTTTTTTCTTGCTACATAATAAAATAGGTAAATTCACAACACTTTCTATTATAAAAATAAATTTATCTGAGTTATCTCCCCTTCTATGTGAGTTATCTCCCCTTATGTGGCAAAGTTGAAAAAAATTAACCAAACTAAAATATTGTGTTTTTTTGAAAATACAGACGTAAATATGATAAAACACATAATTTTCTTTATTAACATGAAAAGTCTTACACTTGAATAACATACTACTCTCAAAATTTGCACATTTCCTTAAAGATCTAGACCAATTGTTATCTGCTATTTCAAAATCCAAGATTGAAGAAGACACCCCAGCCACCTTAATAATTCAATAATTTTTAATGGGATATCTCTACAGAGTTAATTAAAAAAAAAACATTTTCTAAAGCGAAACCAATATGTGCAGAGCGTTTTTTGTAATTTATCTACATAATACCAGAATAAAACTCTATTTGTACATTGGAAAATTGAATATCAATGCTTTTAACACATCTACGACTTAGAAAGCCAGACTTATGGGTTTGATGGTACGTTCTGCTTGACATATCTTATAAGTACTTTTTTATTTGTGTATCCAGTTAAGTTGTACTGTCAGTACAAACGGTTCTTTAAAACACATTTTTTTCCGTCTTTCATTTTGAATAAGCTGAATTTGTCCATTTTTTCGGAACAAAAAGTAAGTGATCAGGTATACCTAATTTAATCAAAATCTTTTTACAGAAGTATCTAAACAGTTAAAATATTTCTATTGGTACGTAAAAATCATATATTTAGAAAAACTAAAACTTTCCACCAACTGTGTTCTCTCGCTTTCTCAATCAAATTTTGTTTGTCCCATTTTGCTTTGTGTGCGTTTTTTATTATGTTTAGTACCACCTGTTCATTTTTCTTATCTTTACTCAGTGTGTTTATAGTCTCGTTCAAATTTAAAAGATTGTGATCCACTTTTTTTAATATTATGCTCACAATGTCAGCCTCACCGCTTCGACATATATTCATGAAGTTATTTTCAATATGTAGTATATTGTGGTCAACAGTATCTAAGAGGATTTCTGCTATTTCATCCCAGCCCTTTGTACAAGCTGCAAGTAGCGAAGATTGGAAATCAAATCGATAATGTGGAAATTCTTGGAGCAAATAAGTAACGATTTTATCCTCACCTTGATTACAGGCTTTTATCATCCCGCCGCTGACATTGCAGTTGGTACTCGCTTTGGCTTTGATATACTTAAGAACATCGATCCATCCAAACCCGCATGCAGCCGTGAAAATTTTACGAATATCAAACTTATCAAAATCGATATTTTGCAGTAACGAAATCACCAGATCAGCGTTTTTTGAAGATGTTAATATCGATTTCGATATTTGATCAAAATCAATAATTTCTTTCCCAAATTGATTTAGTAATAATTGAACAAGCTCAACACTACCGGTAGTGCATGCCGCCGTTATAGCGACTGTTGCATTACATGTACTTAAGTCCAAGGGTAGAATATTCTTTATGATATCGATCCAGCCGTTTCTACAGGATATTTCCATAACAACATTCATGTCAAAAAGGTTATTGTCTGCATTTTGTATGAGCCATGTTACTACTTCAACTCGCGCATACGAACAGCCTTCATTCATTGCAGATTTTATATCGAAGTTGCCGTTTTCTTCAGTTGTCCATATTTTCTTCACAATCTCAAGCCACCCTAAACTACAAGATTGAGTCATCAAGGCTTTTACATTAATCATATTGGGGTCAAGATTACTAACCGCCCAATGAACAATGTTTTCTCTTCCGTATTCACAAGCTATATCAATTTTTGATTGATCGATATTTATATTGCTATGATCCTTATTTGACCATATCAACTGAAGCAATTCGAGCCAACCATTCTTGCAAATTTCTATTATCAATTCGTCAGTCTTTAACATAGACAATGTGGTCTTCTGTATAATTGTCGTAGCCAATTGTTGTTTCTTTTCATCTATCAGCAGTTTGTCTTGGTCTGCATATGAATCGGAATTGACATCAATAGAAAGAATATTCGTCATTGCTTGATTCATGTCAATCATTTTGACATCTGTCATGTTCAGTAAATATTGAATAATTGATGTTTTGCCATGATTACATGCTTCACGTATGATCAAATTGACATTTATGCTAGAAATATTTATATTTTGTAAAAGAATCTTTACAATACCGTCTTTGGTATTTCCAGGACATGCAGTGTGTAGGGCATTCGAAATATCTAGTAATTCTCTTGGCACTTTTTCTAACATCCATCTAACGACATCATATTGTTCATTCCTACATGCATTGTAAAACGCTTCATTCAATCTGAAATTTGACTGATCAATATTTTCCCAAAGCCATTCCACGACGTTTTGTCTTCCATATCTGCAAGCATTATTCATTGAAACGTTCATGTCGAACAACTGCTGATCGTTATTTCTCCACAACCATTCTATTGTAATGGTACTCTGTTCACCTCTACAAGCTTTTGTCATTGCTGTTTTCATGTCAAATAAGTTGTGATTGACCTTTTCCCATAGATACTTTACTAAAGACAAATCGTCGTGCAGACATGCTTCGTTCATCATAGTTTGTAAGTCAAACAACGAATGTTTATTGTTTTGCAAAAGCCATAATGCTATATCGGTATACCCATGGTGGCATAACAAGTTCGTCAAGAATCGTATATCCGTAACAGTATGACAGTTCCTTTCAATAATGAATCTGATAATGCTATCCGATTTCGACGACAATGCATTTGCAATTGCTGTATCAAAATCAAAAATATTACTTGGGACATTAGTTAAAAGCCATTCTACAACTTCAAGAAATCCGAAGACACATGCTTTATTCAACACGTCTGTCCAAAAGATTTCTTTCTTTTGTCCTTGTTTACAAATCACCAATAACATTTCCTGAAGACTGCTTTTGTAGCACATTGATTCCTCGTCATTACAACAATCAAATATCGTGTATAATAATGACTGTAAATGGAAACACGTATGATCAAATTTGGCAATATTCTCTATTAACATTTTCATTAAGTCATGGTCTCCCCACTCACAAGCATGACTAATAACTCGCTTTATATCAAATGATGTATTGTCAACATTCTTAAACAACCATTTCACCATGTCCTCCTCATTTGCATTACAAGCTTCATTCATTGCTTGCTTCATATCAAATAGTTCATTGTCAATATTTTCTATCAACCATTTCACTGTGTCAAGATTTCCATTCATACAAGCATTATTTATTGCTTGCTTCATATCAAATAGTTCATTGTCAATATTTTCTATCAACCATTTCACTGTGTCAAGATTTCTAATCTTACAAGCATTATTCATTGCTTGCTTCATATCAAATAATTCATTGTCAATATTTTCTATCAACCATTTCACTGTGTCAAGATTTCCTTGAATACAAGCATAATTCATTGCTTGCTTCATATCAAATAATTTATTGTCAACATTCTCTATCAACCATTTCATTTTGTCAAGACGACCATAAAAACAAGCTACATTCATTGCGTTCTTCATATCAAATAATTTATTGTCAATATTTTCTATCAACCATTTCATTATGTTTAGACGTCCATAAAGACAAACTACATTCATTGCTTTCTTCATAACAAATAATTTATTGTCAACATTCTCTATCAACCATTTAAGTTGCTCAAAGTTATCTGAGTCACATGCAAAGTAAATTACATTATCAATTCCAAGTAAATTATGATCAACATATTGTATCAATGTCTCAATTATATCAATGTGTCTGTCTCTACAAGCATCTTCAAAACCCGTTTTAAAACCAAACATTGTATTATCATTATGTTGTATCAACCACCTTACAATATTCATTCTTTGATAACGACAGGCTTCTTTCATTGCTGTCTTTAAATCAAGTATTGTAATTCCTTTAGCTTGTCCGATAGATTTGATTACGTCAAGCCAATTTCTGTCACAAGCTATCTTTATGAGACGATTTAAGTCTGTCATATCATTATCACTTTCTATTAACCGCCTAACTAGTTCACTTTTACCATCACGGCATGCGTCATTCATTGCTTCCCCCAGATCCATTAATGATATATCAATATTAGCTATTAAAAGCTTAATAAAGTTGAACGAACCGTGGATGAACACAGTTCTCATAACAGTTCCTATATCCGCATTTGAATTTACAATTTTCCCTGCTAATAGTATGACAATGTCTAAGCGTTCCAATTGACAAGACATACTTAATATCTCATTTAAATCGAGCAGCGAATCATCAACTTCCTCTATCACCCATTTAATTAAGTCAAACCATCGTTGTTCATATGCTGTATTTATGATTGTGGTCAAATCAAACGATTCATGGTCAAATGATTTTAACATCAACTTTACAACCTTAATACGTTCACATTCTGAAACTTTATCTATGTTAATTTCTAAAAGATTATCATTATCTGACAAGGTCTTTACCGTATCGAATGTGATACCACTAAAAACTTTATCTATTGCCGCTTTTACATCAAACGCTATATCGTCAACATTCAACAACAACATTTCAACTATATCAAACTTTCCTCGTCTACAAGCAATATCCACAGCTTCTTCTATATCTAACAATTTGTGGTCAATATTTTCTAGTAGATAACGCATAACATCGGTATTACCATTAAACACAGCTGCATCAAATAGTTCTGATTTATTAAAAGCATTTTGGTCATCATTAATTATTGACCAAGCTACAATGTTATGATATCCGATTTTGAAAGCAGCCCAGACAATGTAATTGATATCAAGTAATTCCTGCTTGATGCTTTGTATCAACTCCTTTAATTTTTTTTCCGAAAGGACATTCATTTTGTTCTTGACTATTTTCATCATATCAATCTTTGAATTATCTACGTGTTGTAAAATAAGTTCAATGTAATTATACAACTCTAAATCAATGATTATTGTGACGATCTCCATCCACCTGCAATATGTCTGGTCAAAATTTTGTATCAAGAAAAGAAAAAGATCTTTTGAACTATTACTTTGACATGTTGAAAGCATTGCAGTAATCATTGAAGTTACGTCAACTTTGTTCAAATCAACTTTCCTGATGATGACTTCAGCTATTTTGGTATATCCTGCGTTATATGCCGCAATTATCATTTCATTTATATTCAGTGTATTGTGGTCAAATGTTTGCAGAATCCATTTGACTATTTTCTGAAGACCATTTTTACAAGAAAACTCAAGTAACGATGTTACAGGGTGATCAATTACTTTGGTATTCTCATTTAACCATTGTAATATCTCATCAGAATCATCACATGTGTCGTTGATTGTTTTATATACAGTGTTTCTTACATCTGTTTGTAAGTTTGGGAATCTCTGATATATCCACTGAACTATGTATAAACTTTGTAAATCGTTTTTATTACCAGTAACTATTTGTTTTTCAGTATCTTCTAAAACCCATTGAATGAAACGTAAAATCGGCAAACTGAATTGTGTAACTAAATTCTTTATCATTATTTCCATTTCCTTATGGTCTTGTAATTTCAAAATAAAATTTTGTACAGTCTCGAAATGTTCGCATCTGAACTCATGAAGGACAAATTGTTGAACGTCTAGCTCATCTGTGTCGACTGTTAAAAACATCCACTTCAGAAATGTTTCCATGCCATCTTTACAAGAAGCAGTTAAGATTTGATTCTTTTCACTCTGATTACATAACTTTTTGTTTAACAAAATCTTTAATGCATCCTCCCAGCCATTCTCACAGGCTGTATTTACAATATTACCTGTATCAAATGTCAAATTCCGAGCATCACTCAAAATTCCTGTTACAAGATTCTTACAAAGTTTGCTGCAGGCAGTATTGATGGATTCTCTTAAGTTGAAGAAATTCTGTGGGAACGACCTTATCAAAATATTCAGAATATCGGTTTTGTTATATGTGTCAATACATTCTATGGAAAGATTTGTTGATATTAACTCGCACAATCTTCTAATATCTTCTACATGTTCTACTTCAAGAACCAATTTCACAATATCAATTTCTTTCGATACCTGGCATAAAAGGAAGCTAACGGCTGTATCATTACCATTTTTCAATGCTATTTGTATGCTATAATCGTAACTACACTCTATTCCATACTCCTTTATCAATCCATATATTAGTTCCAACTTCATATCTGAGTTGTCTGTTTCACACAAATAATAGAAACATGCCACTACTACTCTTTTACTCGCTTTAACTTTTTCCATATTTTGCTCGTCTTTCATGTCATTTTCAATGAAATGAAGAACTGTTGCAATTGGTTTATCTACGTTATGTTTCTGTATAAGGAACCATAATAGGGCTCTTGGAAAGTTGAATGACATCGTATCACGTCTACCCTCAATGTGTATGTCTATCGTATCTTGTGATGTACAGTTGTCAAATTGCTTAAATAAAGGACCTATAAAATCTGGGTTATTCTGAAGTATGATTGATGAACTACAAAGTGTCTTTATAAACTCAGCGGATCTCATTTTATAATCTTTCTCAAATATGGTGAAAAGTCGCTTTGTTAAATATACAAACAATTCTTTTGTAATGATCAAACTGATCTCCTTTTGTCCCCAATCATCCTTCTCTAATCGTATTAAATCGATTATAAAATCAAACTTTAACACTGAAATAACAGCTGACGGATTGACCTCAAAATATGATATTGCTAATGCTTCATATATCATTGGATGTTTGAAATGATAAACCAATGTTTGAGTGTTTTGTTTCAAAAAGTGATCTTCCATTTGCTCTGCAATTTTTTTGATTTTACAGTTGAATAAACGTTTCCGTTGACAGTTTCCACATGATTCCATGATTGTCTCTAGTTTTGATATGTCTATTTCGTCTATTTCTAAGCAACCAGTATTTAAAAGTGTGGATACCAACAAAGCATAAGAAATATTCATTTCAAGATTTGTGTCGGTAGAATCTCTTAGTGAATTTATTTCAGTCATAAGGGATTGATCTGGATGTGTGAAAAAGTTAATACCTAAACGTAAAAATCTTTTGTTCGAGGTAAACATAAAGCATACTTTGGGATATCCTATAAACGGGTCCGTTTTGGCGATTTCATAAACTGTTCTCCCGTCTAAACTAAAATCTTCGTTACCATCGTATGAATACCATGCAATATCAATCTTATGTTTTTTGCAAAAATTAGACAATAATTTCACTTTTTCGTCTTCGCTCATGCAAAAGCTGGGAGAGTTAAGATCAATTTTAGAATAATTTTGAAACAACCTATGAGAAACAAGAAAATATTTGAATGAATTAATTTTTGTAGAGTCCACTGTAAAGACTATCTTCATATTCCCTTTAAATTTCCTTGCATTTAACAGATCTAATATATTATAACTATTTGATCTAGTATTAGAGTATTCTTTAGACGAAAATCCATCATCTATTAATAAAGCAGTTTTTCTTCTATCGGTAATTATGTCCTTTACCTGTTTGATATTTGTTACTTTCAATAAGTCAAAGTCTTCATCTATTAGACCAAACTGCCTAAGTATTTCCAACCCATTTCTAGACTTCCCTGATCCTTCATTACCAATGATGACGAAGACATCCTTTTTGTATATCCATTCCTTACATTTCCTGACAGCATTAGTTTCGACAAATGTTTGTTCCTCCACATGACAATCGATTTCCATGTGTGTTTGATCTACATAGATAGAAAAATAGTTTGGTTTTGTACAACACACAGCTTACATACAGTTATCTTCTGTACAAAGCTATGGATTTTAGCTCTAAGAAACTGGTTGAAACATATAAAAGGAATGTTTTACTTGATAGAATAAGCTCTTTTTTTAAAACAGAGAAAACACCACACAAATCCCACTTGATACCGAGAATGTTCCGTTGGCGACATTACAAGCCGCAAAGCTCTATTTGTTTAACGAAAGAACTTATCTACAAACGTCACTTTTTTGCATGAATTTCTATGGAAGAAAGGACATCATAATATAATTCATTATTCTCAACAGTTCGGCATATAAATACACTCGGACAATTGTCTCGCTGACTTTTACGTCACAGATCATTTGATATATAGCTATAAAAATAATATAAACTGATGTCGTATACTCAAATACGTTTATATGTAAATTAAGGGCAAAGTGTATTAATTCATGACACAAAGTCACTACGCGCAAAAAATAGGAACTGTACTGGTTTCTATCTCATAGTCTCGGTTTTAACTTTTAAATCAGCAAGCTCGCGATATATACAGAAAAATTGTATCTTGCTAAGCATGCACCACCCTTCATCTTCATACATTTCCAAACTCATGCAAAAACGACACAATCGGAAAAAGGAAACAATTTACAGATCTAAATACTATACTAGCATCAAATGACATAAGACAGCACCACTTGTCGCCATGATTACTCAATATCATATCATTTACTGTTTACCAAACACAAGATTTGTGAGTATAAAAAAAGAAGATATGGTATGATTGCCGATGAGACAACTCTCCATAAGAGACCAAATGACACAGAAATTACCAAGAATAGGTCACCGTACGGCCTTCAACAATGAGCAAGTCACATACCATACAATCAGCTATAAAAGGCCTCGAAATTACAAATGTAAAACAATTCAAATGAAAAAACTTACGGCCTAACTTATTTACAAAATAATGAACGAAAAATAATAGGTTACACAGCAACAAACGACAACCACTGAATTACAGGCTCCTGATTTGGGACCGGGACACCCAGAATGTGGTAGGGTTAAACTAGTTTGAAGGCTCTAACCTCCCTTAACCTAGGATAGTAGTGTAACAGTACAACATAAGAACAAATGATAAAAATCAGTTAAAAAAGGCTTAACTCATCAGATAAATACAAATAGAAATGAATCTAACAAAAACACAGAGTGGACGTGGATGGGTACTCATACATCCCCACAACAAAAAGACACTAAGTATAGATCTTCGCGTACTCGCATTTACTGACAGCTAGTTCAAAGACAATAAAATATCAATCAGAACACATCAAGCATTCAATGGATTTAATGTAAAGATGTCATAAACAGCAAAGAAAATACATGACCTGGTGCAATGCCAAGACACATGTATCGACATATTGTAGCCTTGAATGTGCATATGTGTATGAAATAATATTTTGTTTTTTTATTTTAGTATACTGATAACAAAATCAATATTAGTGCAAATAAAAACAATATTCAAAGATCTAATTACAGTGTTGAATTGGGAATCTTTTAAGAATGAGATTATTTAAAGGATCGTTTCTAAGTTTTCGAACTCGGTGAACAACATTACTTAAAAAATAAGGATGTGCTATCCCGTTTGAATCAAGTTTTATTCAGGTACAACCAAACTTCAAAACCAAATCGTTATATCTATGGAAGAATTGAGTCAAGTTTTAAGTAATTTGTGGTAACGAAATCCCTGTCTTTATAATTAACCAGTAATACATAGACTACGTTCGTTGAAATCCCAAGCGTTACTACAGACACGGGCATAGCGGGAGAGTTTATAAATAAACACTGTAAGATGGTGCCCAGAAAACATCACCTTTCAAAAATAGAAAATTAACAATAGGGAACTAAAAATCGTCCCTTTTGTCATAAAATGTAGTAAAGAGTCTTCCGTGTAAAACTGAATTATCTAAATCTAGGAAGCACAGTTATTACCGTTTATATTTGATTTATGTAAAGTAAGTTCCTTTTCGGTAGTATATTTAGAAAATTCTTAAGCTGGGTTATTTAACTAAAAAAATATATGATCGAGACAACGTTAAGTGTCGTTGAATTTATCAATGAAATGTAATTTAGACGAGTCTTTACCGAATTAGGACATACACTGGGATACAGAACAGTAAAGAAACAAGTCTGCTATTAAAGGTGCACAATTGGTGACCATAGTAACATCTACAACCTGTCGATAAATTTTATTGACAAAACGTACGTCAATATTATCAGGGAAAAAATAAACAACTGCAATCATCTCACCACACCTCGAGTAAGTATAACTGTAAATAATCATGACTAGTGTTAAACAATTCAAACAGGAAAAAAAACGGTCTAAACTTTATAAAAAACGAGAATCGAGAAACACTTATGAACAATTTCAACAAACGACTTACCTTTCTCATTGGAGAGAGAAGAAGGCTTAAAATGAGTTGCAGCAAACAAATTTGCATTCAACTTTACCAAACGACCATTTATTTAAAACGAAAAAGGTTCTGTAACATTTGAAAAGTCAAAACTGTCAACAGAAGCAAAAGGAGCATCAAAAACACTCCAAAAATAGTTAATTGCACGATTTTCATATATTTTATTATAAAAGTTTAAGATAAGTTCTTTGATTGTAGTTAAGGAACTAGTTAAGAGCACTGAAAGATTGGTTTAGAACACTTACTCGTGGACTAGATGAAACGATATATGACTGGTTTTTGCGTAGTTTAGGTAACCAATAAATAAACTCATCATAGATACCAGGATTGCAATTTTATATTTACGCCCGACGCGCGATTTGTCTACAAAAGACTCGTCAGTGACGCTAGAATAAAAAAATGTTGAAGGCCAAATAAAGTACGAAGTTAAAGAGCATTAAGAACTAAAAATTCCTAAAAGTTTTGCCAAATACAGCTAAGGTAATCTATTCCTGAGGTAGAAAAGCCTTAGTATTTCAAAAATTCAAAGTTTTGTAAATAGTGAGGGTTAGGGTTAGGGTTAGGGTCGACCATATCAATGATAATTCATGTCAACACAGTAGTGCTGACTACTGGGCTGGTGATACCCTCTCAATACATAGTAGGGACCCTTTATTTTTAAAATGTGATATTCGAATATCCACAATATGAATACATTTATTTAAGTAAGAATCAAGAGATTTGTTATCAGATTTTTCCCCGTTTACACCAATTTTTACAATACAATTAAGAGCGTCTTTTGTGACCTGAAGACACTGTTTCCAATTTATTTTAGATGGAGGACGATATTTTGACCTTTTTTTCAAAAAGGTTTTAACCACTCGGTCTTGAACGATATAGGGATCCCCGTGATAACATGGTCATAGGGATCATATCTAAAATTCGACGATTCACAGTCTTAAGTTAGAGGAGTGTTATTATCTACATTGACGTCTGATGTTACTGACGTATAATTAAAAAAACTCTTCTGTCGGGTTTTTTGTATGTATCCAAAATCATAGGTGGTTCTGTATTATCAAAATAGGGAGGTGTAAGGTTTTGAATGGTAGAGTCATGAAATGTACTCGATTAGTTGATGAAATCAATACCTCTGTTTAAACATTTCATTTTCAGAAAGTGGCGTTTATGATCTTCAGGTTTATCGATACGTGGTAACAGCCTATGGTGGCAAAAGGTTTCTGGATTGTTTCCAATGATTGGAATCTTATAAATTTAATGTTTTGATTGTGTTTACCTAAATGTTGGTAAATTATACTTTTGGATGCCTTAGGGTTTCGGAAGTGGTATAAAGTTATGTTCCTGTGATCGTCTAAGAACTTCCCGTCCTGTTTGTCCTACATATTGTAAACCACACTTTGGCTTTGTTCGACTGATTAGATAAATGTGGCTTTAAGTTCATGTAATGTCACAGGAAAATGAAAGCGTTTACTGTTGACCTAACAGTATTATCATTAAAAAATCTGAAGCAGGTTGGTAATTACCTGGCATTGCACGGGAATATTTGTGGACATTCACGTGCATTTTGATTTAATATTTTGGTTGTGGTAGCATTGCCGACTTTGACACAATTGTTAAAATATGTCTACTCACTTTTGACTTTAACTAACGTTTGGTTAAACCTTTCCATGAGTTGTTCTTGATAATCATAGCCTTTCATAACACATTCATCCATAAGTTTTGGAAATTTTCCTGCTTTTTCTGCGATTTTTTTACCTATCTTGTTGAGACAAGGTCCTATTTCTGCAACACTCTAAAATGAATATTTTCAGTTTTTATACATTTAATTTGGACTTATAAAATCAATTTATAATATAAAGTCGAACTGATCATGACAATGGTGCAGTTAAATAAAAATCCATTCATAAAATCAATGCCGTCGTTGAAATTTGTGTCTCATAGTATATTTAGAGAGTTTTTATTGACCAATTGTCTTTTATACATAAGTGATGTTTTTATGAAAAATCGTAGTTTGAATGTTATAGTTTTATATGTCCACTTTTGATAAAAATCGAGATAGCTATATATTTGATATTAAATTCAATGGTCTTTCTCATTATCAAGTATAATAAGAGATTTCTGCACTCTAAGCGATTTTATCAGAACTACACCATAGCTCTAATTAGTTCATGGAATAATATTTCTATAGTGTTGTATCTCCACTTTTGTCAGCAAATTTTGCCTTAAAATAATTGTTATCATAATTATCATTAGTTTGTAGTACTATGCTTAAATTGACTGCATGGTTTGAACTCAATCTATGAGCAGTTCTTAGCAAATCCAGCAATTCAGGATTGGGGATATTACCGTGTAAAACAATTCAGGGTCTTTCTCCAATAGAAATGTAGGTATAAAGTTTTTTTAATCTACATTGTTTGCTGAGCAGCGTTCTACCTCCAGAAAAGGTATACTTAATCGAAGGTGCTTTTCTTTAAAACAAAAATCATACAACGAGTTACTCAAAAAAGAGGGGCGAAAGATACCAGATACTCATAGATCGAAAAAAAACTGACAACGCCATGGCTAAAAAATAAAAAGACAAACAGACAAATAATGGTACACAAGACACCACATAGAAAACTAAAGACTAAACAACACGAACCCCACCAAAAACTGGGGGTGATCTCAGGTACTTCGGAAGGGTAAGCAGATCCTGCTCCACATGTGGCACCCACCGTGTTGCTCATGTTATTACAAATCCGGTAAATAGTCTAATTCGGTAGGTCACATTCGTGGTGAAAAAGGAAGTTGATTGCAATTACGACATAAGGAAAATATCCGATATCATCTGTGAAACGGTTATTCCATAACGGTCAACCAACTCGTGATGGCGTCCGTAAAATTAACGAAGGGATGATTTCAACTTCACCATTTGGAAATCTTTGTTTAATAGCTTTCTTGTGAGCAGGAACCCTCTATCAAGGAAATCATGATAGGAAATACAAGCCCGGGAATATCGTATCAATTGGGAGATATATACTCCGTATGCAGGCGCTGCTGGAATGTTGCTACTTAGAAATGGAAAGTTCACAATTGGGAAGCTAAAATCATCTCTTTTGTCGTAAAGTTTTGTTTTCAACCGACCCTCATTGTCAATTTCTAGATGTAAGATGTTAGATGTACATCTATTTGATTTCTAGATTACTTTATATCTCAGTCAAATATTTTTGATATTGCGCTTTTAAACTTTTATTCAAATGTTTACCACTATTACCAAATGGGAAATCAATTATTATAAGATTCACACGACGATATTGTAATGTAGGTCAGAATATTTTTCCTTTTTCATAGACATAATTATAGACACAGCATACTAACGGTACGGAAACCCTTCAATTCACTTTAAATTATGCATTCTTTGTTTGTAAACATAATCCGGTTTTATTTCAAAATTTTCATTTTTCTTTCTACATTGAAAATCAATAAAGAATGAAATTCAATGTGACAATCAATATGTCTTTTACAGAACCAAACTTTCTAATGTATCATACTAACAATTCAAGGTTAAACAAATCCAATAAGTTTAAATATTTGGAATATTATTATTGATAAGTGATACATATTATATTTCCAATTACCTGATGAATGTCTGCTTGTCTGGTAAGTGTTTCCATCAAATTGTTTTGATACTGTGTGAAAAGAGTTTGATCGAGTGCACCATCTTTTGCTTCGCGTAATTTCTGCTTAAAATGTGTTTCCTTATTACACACTTTAGCAATTTCTAAAATACAACGTTCTATCTTGATAATTGATGTGTTATAATCTTTATCAGACATCATACCTTCTTTAGCATGACCGTAGTCCTGGTTCCTGATCTGAACCAAAGTTTCAACAGCCATCCGTAGAGTACAGATATGCTGTAATATGATTTTGCTTACGGATGGGTCAAGATTCATCAATGTTCTACCATGTGCCGCTGCAACGGAGCAGATACTTTGCATACTCCCTGGACTGGATCTCTTTCTATGATTAGTGCAAGGCAGCAGGACGGTATTAAACATCTGCGTCCAGTCATTTTGATACAACACGGAATGGTTAGTTGGAAATGTATACCCTGGTGGACATTGACAACATGGTGCATTGTACTGCCATAGATGATACAGTTCATGCTTGTTGTGGTTGAGAAAATCTTCCAATGTTATGGATTGTAACTGAAGACAGCTAAACCAGAATACATCGCTGCACAAATGGACTAACAAACATCTGGCTAAGGTTAGATCGAGAACATCAGTGCAAAGACCTGACCTAGCCATGCTGCAACAGAAGTCATCTGACCGCCTGACTGTATTATGACATGGTAACTTTATTGATGATAGGTCGAACAACAATTCCATTTGTGATTGATGCAGAATACGAGATGTACGGGGCGGATAATGTCCCTGTGGACATTGACAACACCTTGAACGGTTATATAAATGATATATTTCATGTTGATTTGTGTTAACAAACTGTTCAAACGTCTGACCTTTTTTTTGCACATCTAGTTCTACTAAAGACACTAGAGCAGCTTTAGAATGATCAACAACTAATATGGCATTCCGTAGGAAATTCTCTCGTTCTTTTGAAGTCATATTTCAGCTGTAATGGTGATGAAATGGAAACTTTAATCAGTATTACTATTTAATATTTATAACAATGTATATAATGTATGCGTAGCTATTGGGAGATAATATCTTGTAAGGAAGAAGTGATAGTAAATCTCGTTTTGTGGTTAAATTTTCATCAAATGATTACTGGAATAGTTGAGGTTCTATTTACAAAACATTACGGGCATAATTATTTCGGCAAACTCCATCAAAATCAATGGTTCATCGTGTACTAGAGAAAGATATCATCATTTTGATATCCAAGATTACACCCGTGAGAATTGCAGTGCATTGTGTTGACATATTATTTTGAACATTTCAATCGAAAACAACGAAAAGGCTTCAGATGGTAAGTAAACATTATAGTCTCTCTGTCTACCGTAGTTTACTCAAACAATAACAAAAATCGATTAAAATTGTCTTTGAAAGTCAACTATGCCTTGATAAGTAAACTGCCGATTTTGGTCATTTACATTTTTCAACTTACTTTGATGATCGTGCTTTCTGTTTGTGCTTTCTCTATATCTACTTTTCATATTATATAGTTTCTAAAAAAAGAAAGAAAAACAAGGACATTAACTTTCATTTGGATTAGCATTAACCCTGACATAGAATCGCGCGTTTGACGTCACACAGGTAGATATAAAATAATTGTGCCGTTCAAAGTACAGAGTCACGTCAAATGAATATCACAACAAAACAGACTTAACAGTAAAAGTAATATCAATAAAGACAAATAAAAGAACACTATAACACGTTTAGATGATAAACAACGTCAGTACGCAGAATCTATACTTAAAGACCATCGTGTATTATTTGTGAAGTTGATACGGAATATTTATCAACAAGGTCTTGGTTCCTTCCGACGAACTTTTTTCGAAAAAGAACGAGACGTTCTTTGAAATACCCCTGGTTCATCAACTTTCTGCTCAGACACTGGTAACGTTTTACAAAGTCTGAGTAGAAACTGCATGCAAGCTCTTGAATACCGAATAAGTTGGGAAATGTATATCCCATATGCATGTGAAGTTGGTATATTGCTATTGCAAACCATTACCTTTTTTTGTACTTTTCTAAGGACTCATCTTCGTTCTGAAAAAATATGAAGATATCTAGTGTTTCAAAAAACACGGGTAGATTCAAATTCAGGTGAATGAAATGAAGCTATTAATATATTAATGCTGCCCTGTGTCAAATTAAGATAGTTACACATTAAATGAAAATACGGATCTCTTTTTTTTAAATCATTTTATATTTCATGACAATTGTTTGACACTTTTGACTCTCAATGATCAAACAATTGTTTTTTCTTTCCTATAAAAAGCAATAGTAGGGTCATATTTTGTCAAGTTCAGAATCAAATATAATCAATATATCCCAATCATGTTTTCTATTAAACAGTCATGACAGTGTTATGAAGCATAGGACCATTCTTACAACTTTTTCGTATTTGTTGTTTACCTCCCAGATAATTTCATAGATGTTAAAATCTTACTTCAACTTTCCCATGTTTACAGAGATTGATGTAAATAAAAAAAAACTCTATTATAACTTCGTTTTGATCTGTTACAAAAACTCATCAAACATATAAAAAATAAACCAAGTACGAAAGAGGCTCATCTCGTCTACACAATACAGTGTTTATAAATCGTGTATTGGTCCGTCGTGTTCTGAATTCGTAACTTTATGTAAGTTTCAATAAAATTGATAATAATGAACAGGAACAGCAATAGTGACACACTGTGCAATATAATATTGTTAATGTCTCTGTGTGGTACGCTTGGCGATAAACAAAGTAATCCTAAATAACAGACTGTTTTACATTTATCTCAGTCACACTACAATAACATGATTAAGTCACCGCAGTTTCGAGGCTACTGAATACAAAACTCAAAGGGAAAATTAATTGTTTATCCTTAAATAATAACATGAAATTTTCCAGCAGCGCCTGCATACGGAGAATATATCTCCAAATTGATACGATGTTCTCGGGCTTGTATTTCCTATCATGATTTCCTTGATAGAAGGTTGCTGCTCACAAGGAATCTTGTTCGTGTTGCTTAGTCTTTAGTTTTCTATGTTGTGTCATCTGTACTATTATTTGTCTGTTTGTCTTTTTATTTTTGGCCATGGCGTTGTCAGTTTATTTTCGATCTATGAGTTTGACTGTCCCTCTGGTATCTTTCGTCCCTCTTTAATAAACCAATAGTTCCAAATGGTGAAATTGAAATCATCCTTTCGTAAATTTTACGGACGCCATCAAGAGTTAGTTGACCGTTATGGAATAACCGTTTCACAAATGATATCGGATATGTTCCTTATGTCGTAACTACAATACCCTTCCCTTTTCACGAATGTGACTTACCGATTAGACTATTTACCGGGTTTGTAATAACATGAGCAACACGACGGATGCCACATATGGAGCAGGATCTGCTTACCCTTCCGGAGCACCTGAGATCACCCCAGTTTTTAGTGAGGTTCGTGTTGCTTAGTCTCTAGTTTTCTATGTTGTGTCTTGTGTACTACTTGTCTGTTTGTCTTTTTCTTTTTTAGCCATGGCGTTGTCAGTTTATTTGGGATCTATGAGTTTGACTGCCCCTCTTTTAGTTCATTTCAAATTTTTTTTTAAGATAAGTGTTTTAGATATATGCCTTCTGTTGCTAGAGGACCATCCTCGTTATGAAATATGAAGATACCGGTTTCTATAAATTGTAGTAGATTGGATTTAAATTTTTTGTATAATGAATCTATTAATATCTTGCCGATTCTCTAATTTTATACACGGGAGGTACATTTAATAATCAAAATGTCATTGTGAGTAACCGTGACTGTATCTTTAACTGAGATAAAAATATGGTATAACTTGACCCGGACGAATTCCTTTCATATCAAAATTGTAATGTATAGAATGATAACAATGTACATGAAACATCACTACCTGCAATAAGATAATTTCAATGTATGTGTGCTTTACGCTCGGCGATTAACATAACAATCATAAATATACTTAGTCACACTACAATAAGTCAGCGCAGTATCGATACATCTAAATACAAATCTCAATATGAAAATACATTGTTTATCCTTAATGTTGATAAACTGTATACTGCAATCTTGGTTTTTAAAATATCAGTTCAAAATAGGTCTAGTCTAGTATAATTCTGCAAATTGTGGGACAGATTGCGATTAAATGGTTAGACTGTTTATTACAATAAAGAAAAAATAAGTGATTCATCGCATTATTTAGACTGATTTATCAAATGCATGTAAATGAGATGTGCCAATGCTTATATAACTGCATACCAAATACAATTGATTTATTATAAGTTATTCCAACTAATCGAACCTAAACCCAAACATTAAACTATGTAAAAGTTTCAGAGTCAATGAACCATGATGAGATGGCTATATGTAAAGGATACTTGCAAATGCATTATTGAATTAACATTAGCAGTTCATCTTAAACTTATCTAATCACAAACTAAAACGTGTAAACTAAGCAAAATTTTAAGTCAATAGACCATGACTTAGTTGACGGAACCAAATATCTCCATGGAAATGAGATATGCCAATACTTATACAACTGCATACCAAATATAATTGACCTACCACCAGTGGTTCCCCATAAACTGACCTAATTACAAACTAATACATGTAAACTAAACAAAAGTTTCAAAGTCAATAGACCATGACTAAGGGGGCAGGACCAAATAATCTCTATGGAAATGAGATGAGCCAATGCTTATACAACTGCATACCAAATATCATTGACCTACCACTTGTGGTTCACCATCAACTAGACCTAATCACAAACTAATACATTGTTGACGCCGGAAACAGCATACCTATGTCTCGCTTTTTGACTCCGTCATGGTGAGACAAAACCTATCAGTTGAAAAAGGCTTAACTCATCAGGTGGATATAATACAAATACTACAAATACAAGTGGACGTGGCCGGGTACTTGTACATCCCAACAACAAAAAGACACTAAGCACAGATCTGAGAGAACTCGCAGTTACTGACAGCTAGTTCAAAGCCACTAACAACTAATAAAAAAATCATGCATCTAAGACTAAATGCATATTTTAAAACAAATTTCTCAAATTCTATCTCATAGATGCAGTTTATGTCCCAAACAGTTTGTTCATGGATAAGCTATGCGAATTTCAGCAGTTTTACACGACTTATAGCTTGAACTAGAGGCTCTCAAGAGCCTGTGTCGCTCGCCTGTATTTACTGATGCTTTGAAAATCATGTAAAATAAGGTTAAAATCACAATTAATAGTATTAGATATTAGATATTATAATGATATCTAAGATAATAACAAATAACTGCAAAATTACCGTAAAATTACTAACTCAGGAGCAGCAACCCAACAACGGGTTGTCGGATTCGTCTGAAAATTTCAGGGCAGATAAATCTAAATCTGATGAACATTTTCCCCACCTGTCAGATTTGCTCTAAATGCTTAAGTTTCAGAAATATAAACCAAAAACTGCATTTTACCCCTATGTTCTATTTTTAACCATGTCGGCCATGATGGTTGGAAGGCGGGGTCATCGGACATATTTTTAAACTAGATACCCTAATAATGATTATGGTCAAGTATGGTTAAATTTGTCTCAGTAGTTTCAGAGAAGAAAATTTTTGTAAAAGATTACAAAAATTTACAAAAAAATGTTAAAAATTGACTATAAAGGGCAATAACTCCTAAAGGGGTCGACTGACAATTTTGCTCATTCGACTTATTTGTAGATCCTACTTTGCTGAACATTATTGCTGTTTACAGTTTATCTCTATCTATAATAATATTAAAGATAATAACCAAAAACTGCAAAATTTCTTTAAAATTACCAGTTCAGGGGCAGCAACCCAACAATTTTACGGGTGGATAGATCTTAACCTGATGAACATTTTTACCCCATGTCAGATTTTCTCTAAATGCTTTAGTTTCAGAGATATAAGCCAAAAACTGCATTTTTTTTAGCCATGTCGGCCATGTTGGTTGGCAGGCGGGGTCATCGGACACATTTTTTTAAACTAGATACCCTAGTGATGATTGTGGTTAAATTTAGGCCATTAGTTTCAGAGAACAAGATTTTTGAAGAAGTTAACAGATGAGAACGACGACGACGACGACGGACGACGACGGACGACGGACGACGACGGACGACGGACGCCAAGTGATGAGAACAGCTCACTTGACCTTTCAGGTCAGGTGAGCTAAAAATAACACGCTGTTAATTGCTTTAGGGTGGATTTAAATTTAGATGATTGTAATGTTCTTTGTTGTTTACTTCCGTGAATTTGTTATTTCAAATTTACAGAAAATGATAGTAAAAACACCAAATAATATACGTACTCTGTTTTGACTTCGTTTTGGATCTGTTACAAAAACTTATCAACTTGTACGAAAGAGGATCTTCTCGTCTGTGGTAATAACTCTACGTATATTGTTCCGTCGTATTTTGAATTCATTTCTATGTAAATTGCCATTGAAATAA